GTGAAATAAATGATGTGTGGAAAGCTAAGTTTCTTGTAATGCAATAATAGCCGGATCGAATTTGGAAGACAGGTATAACAGATCTGTTATGGCTGAGTGAAGAGATCTGCAATTCCAATGTATAATTTTAAGAGACCCTATGATTTCGTTAAAATGGTTTCGGTAACTACCTTATCTAAAATCCTTTCTTTTAGAAAATCGGTTTTTGAAAGGTTGTCTTTCTGGTATTTCTTGCTTTATACATGTTTCGGCAAGCCAAGTTTTTTCGATACAGGGGATCTAGAACGCTTTAGGCCTTTGAGATCCATGTCCATAGCTTTTGTGTCCTGAGAAGCTTCCTGTGCACCCTCGCTTTGCCTCTGAACGCCTTCTCCAGAGGGCTCTGCAGACTGTGCATCCGGTGGAGTTATCTCAGATTCTGCCTCACTTGTCGGGTGTGCAGACTCAGCATTTTCTACAGCCGTACTTATATCTATCTGGGCTCCATAGACTTGTGCGATTTGGTTATTCACAATGTGCGACAGTGACTCGCATAGGGTGGTAGCAAAGCGTTGCATAGCCTTATCCACAGCCTTCTCGATCATGTCCGCAATTGATAGGAAAAAGGATGCTTCCATTGCCATGTTATGGCGGGCAGCTGCTCCTGCATACCCTTGAGTTCGGGCTTGGATTTCAGCAATGGCATCTTTTCGGGAGCATTGCCTTCTGTCTACAATTTCAAGGATTTGGATTTCACGTGCCTTGGCTGAGCAGTTTGGGTTATCAGCGCAGTGTGCTTCATGGCAAAGACAGCACTTTTCTTCATTACTTTTACAGTCGTTTGAGTTGAGCGTCTCATCACAAATTCTGCATCTAGGTACTGACCTGCATCCTTTCACTGTGTGCCCATAACGCCAACACTTAATACACTGTAGGAGACGAGGTGGTAGTGGCTCCACTCTGTATATTAACGGCCACGGTTTGATTTCGGTTGGGGGATTCGACCCGGCAAATGTAGCAATCACGAACTCCGTTGGGACCTTGTTCTTGTCCGCAACTCGACTACATCTATAGATAGCTATCACACCTGCTTCTGAAAACATATCTAATATCTCAGTTGGGGTCAAGTTGACATCGACACCCCGAACGAGGCCTTTGACGCAAGCTAGGTGAGGTGGAATGAATGCGCTCACCGGGTTGGTAGCCAATACCGAGCATTTTATGAGGTCTCGAACACAGAGCTAGTCAGACGTGAAGCAAAGAATGCCACCCTTGCCGAACTGCCTGACCTCTGTGATGCTTTGGTAATGAGTTGTAGCGGCTCTCAACTCCGTCTCAATCATTTTTGGATTCTTCATCCGTATAATACCATCGTTGCTTGGGACCAATGCCACAGGAATGGATGAGATGCCATTGCGTAAAAACAAGTCCGCTGGCAATTTCTGCGAAGGAAGAGAAGCAGACCAGAGGAAAGCCCCTGGTCCAGGTGAGGAAAACGGCATCTGCCTGGTCGTACTATCTGAAAATACACTCGCTAATCAATTAGGACACTATAGAAACGCTTATGAAAAAAAAAATAAACAAAATCAATAACAACTACTAAATTCTTGGCCAAACCCTCAGAGCAGGCAAACGTCAGTCGCTGATCTCAAAAACCGCCCCTTCTGACCGTTAATTGTTTGTTTCTTCGTGTTTGAGCTTCGTGCGTGATACTTTTTTTTTTTTCGTCGGGACATAACATGCAAATAAAATGTACGTTGTAGTCACCTGTGTGTCGCTGCCTTAATGCATATAACAACTGATTTTTAAAGTTCACTTGTTTCTATAAGTGACTCTCAGAGCAATAGTTCTGTTGTTGTTGTAACAAGAAAAAAAAACACGAACGTATACGTAAGTTATGCATGCCCGGTGAAAATTTTTAATCTGTGCTAGCTTGTTCGAGCTGTTCCAAGTTGCCAGCTCGCCCACGGTGGAAGTTGTTGGCCTCAGATCCCAACTTTGACATCACTTGTCTCAACGGTATTTGTTGGTACTGTTCTCTTCGGCACACACTACGTAAACATGAGCCAAATATTTTCACAAGCATATGTATGTGTCACTTTGAAGACACGGGGAACGCAGCTGTGAAGGGATACAATTCATCTGCACACGATTTCAGCGGAACTGAAAATTGCAGTAAGCAAGTATCCTTTTTGACGGTGCTTCAATTAAAAGAAAAACATAGGTTTAAGAACTTTGGGTGAAATAAATATGAACTTACTGGAAGCCTTAAATTCTCCTTCCTCTGTTTGTGCCCTCAATGATGGCTTCCAAAATATGGGAACATAGCTCGTGTTACTATACCCCACTGACTTGTGCACTTGGAAACCACCTGTATGAGCTAATTCTTGCAGTCGAACCACTTGAATTCTACATTTAATACTGGATGCAGTTCTACGTTGTAGCAAGTTCTACACAGAAATGTTCCTGCCAGATGAGCTAGTAAGTACGTTTTGGTTTGAGGCCAGTTGGTTTCATTCATTTGCAGACCTAATTATTCCAGATTGTTCATTTCTATACCAGCTGAATTCCTTTCCAGACTGGAGTGGTTTTTGCTATGAACCAACTGAATTGAGTTGGTAGCCCACTGGCTTTCACCTGAACCCAGCTTATCCCAGTTAAAACCAGCTAAACACCAGTTGTAACTTGTTTTTAGCTGATTTCACCTGGGTGTACACCTAGCAAAGTTGGCGGGGTACGAAATGTTTGAGAAAAGCTTTTTCTTGCTACTCGGAACACAATCTCCAAACGAATGTTCCAGACTGTAGTCGGTAGCGCAACATATACAGTTACCAGAAAGATTAAAAGCAGTGCGCACTGATAGTGAAGGAATCTGCATTTGTTGTAGAGCCAGCAGCTCGTAAAATTTTCTTCCTGGGTGTACATATTATGTTTGTTCCATACGTATGCTGTCAATGTTTTACCATTGTTTACCATCTAGTCTGAAGCCATAAAATGCAGTATTTTGTGCCATTTTTAAGCCTACAGTTCCTTGTTTAATGTAAAGTCATCTTTATATCATAATTATGAAACACAATCTTTTCGTTAGCACAATGACTTCAAGTGGCAGTATGAGCAGTTATTGCTCTTTTCAAATGCGCGAAACCTTTGACTGGTGATTTCATTGTGTTGTATCATGCTAATTAATACACTGGTCGTGTTTACTGCAATTATCTTTGTTTTATTATAATTAGCACACGGTCCCCTTAACTAATAGAATCTATGTATTCTTAGAGCCCGAACAGCACTTAGAGGACCAGGATGAGCATAAGGTATGGCACATGGGCCTTGATCGCTTTCCCTTTAGCGCTCCTTTATTCCCAGTGAAATAGTGCCAGACAGTGTTGGTTAGTGGGAGGAGGCTCCCCCCCCCCCCCCCCCCCCGAATATTTTACATTTCATAATTTTATCTAATCACATGTACATACTGCCACATAATTTATTCATGTATAACTGTACTAGAACATGGAAGAATGTCGAAAGGCCAAAATCTCGGCAAGCACAGGCTCGGGTTGCGTGGCTACCACCAATTCCGTCGCTTGCTTTCTTGGCTGATTCGTCATCGTCTCACATTGTTCAGTACAATACAAACATACATGAACCTACATAAAAAAAGGTTCAATTCTTCCCACCCTCTCAGAAAATAATTTTAACTTTGCATCTGGTGACAGAGCAAGTTGTCTAAATTACTGTCTCTATTATCTTTCAATGCAGCTTGAATGCAATGATTCACTGATCTTGCATAGCTTTCTGACAGCCCTATAATGACTAGCTTACTCTAGATGCCCTTTTGTCATAGTCACTCCAGAGAAAAACAAAAATAAGATCCACCTTTTTTTGGCACAGACCTATGTTTTGTGGCGTGCTTCTAAAGAAATTTGATTTTTTATTGTTCTCATTATTTTTCGTATTTGCTTTCGTTATACTGTTTCTAAAATTGGGGCTGTTTTTAAATTCACTATGTTTCAACAAGACTTATACTTTACTAGTGATTTTCATTTAGATGTGATCTCACGACTTCAATTAGGAGTGGTCAAAGTTATTGTTTGAAGCATCAGTTTATTCTATATATATCATTGTTTGGAGCAAATAATATATTGTGTAATGTCTTGCATCGGTGGCAGTTTTGTTAGGCTGGTAAATATTGTTTGGCCTTTTCTTTTTACCTATTCTGAAAGTTTGCCTATGTGCAGGAAAGTCAGGGAAGCTAATCTATATCAGTTGTAGCACCATGAAAATGGCTTACGAAGTGCTATTTTCTGCTATAGTGTGTTTTCTTATGACTAGTGCGTAAATGTGTATTTGCTTTTTATTTGTTATTACTTTTATAGTTTTTTCTAGCTTTATATTAGTTTTACTAGTCATCATACAGTAATGAGTGTCACCTAGAGTTTATGTGCTTTGAACTGCAGCTGATTCTAGTGGGCGGACTCAGCTCATCTAAGATATAACGTTCAGCTGCACAACCTGTCATCTTTCATACATATTGATTATGACATAGGTAGTTTTTGGGAAAATCTTAAAAATTTGTAACAAAAGCCAGGAAAAGTTTTGTTATTATAATTCTTGACTTCTGCTTAGTCTCCAAATTGGCATATGTAAAAGCTTTATATTCTGTACGTCTCGCAACTCTTTCTGTCCTGACTATTTATAGAAGTTTCTCAGTCAAGTTAAAGTTAGCCTTTCAGGGGCGCTGCATCTGGGCATCAATATGCACGAGTGACTCAAAGTGTTATAAATACCCATATTTGTGCACGTTCCTTCATAGTTGTGCAGTATTTTCTTTTAAATAAGTAGCTGTTATCCCTGAACAATGACCCTGATCATTTCAACTGCTCAGGCAGAGGAAACATGAAGATCGTGACCGAATACTGTGAACCTGTGCTTTGCTTTCCCTTGTTAAAGGACTAAATGTAGTGTTGCAAAATCCTGTTGATCGATAAAACTCTGTTTTTTACGCTTATTTTTATATCTGTGTGCAGTACTCGGCAAATCATGGAACCCAAAACCAGCAACCGCAGCCACAGGCAGCCCACCCAACTGATGAGCCACGGAAGCCAAAGTTCGTGCAAGTCACCAACTTGGAAGATGCCCAGGTGGTGCGTGCCTGTGACTTCCACCCTAGCGGCCAGTTCTACGCTGTTGGCTCCAACTCCAAAACCCTTCGTATCTGCGGCTACCCAACCATCACTGACCTCAGGCATGTTTTACATTACTGCCTAACTTTGTCTTTTACCTGTAAAGCTCTGTACATCACCAACAAATATTTGTGCGATGCATATGCATAAATATAGTACAGTATGTGTGCAAGAAAATGATTTAAGGGCTTCTTTATGTGCATGCCCTGCTTTTATTGAATGGCCCAGCCTGTCACTAGTGCTTTTCATTACAAACAAAAAATTATCTCTATATTGTTGTACCGTGACAAATTGAATAAAGTAACAATTAAATTAATGAACACCAGCAACATTGCTGGTGCTATTATCTCGATTACCAGCTCATCTAGCATAACACAAGTAGGTTGATGTTACAGTCCTTGGTGTTATGTTGAGATACAGTGGTTAAATTTAAATTCACGTGTCCAAATTGAACAGGTCGTCATATCTAGTGGGGCCCAGTTGAAAGCGTGTCTTCTATCGTGGAGGCCATGGCAGGAAATTGTTTAAATGCCATTGTTGCTGCTGTGTCTCCCGCTACTTTCGTTTTGCTACTATTAGTGTCGGCGACCGCGCAGTAAAGCCCATGTTACAGGCATACAGGCAACATTCTGCTTGGGGCTGGTAATTTTAAGTACGCTAGCCTGATGTGGACCACTAAAACGTCATTTTATTTCAAAATAAATGCTCTTTTGGCACAATAGTAACACTCCGAGGTTTCCGGATTGCCATTTCAACAATCAGTGTGGACCTAATACTTGCCTTTAGTGTCCCTTTAACACGATTTAAAGGGGCTCTAAAGAGCAAAAAGATTTTTCGCATATTACTGAAGTACAATTTCTCAATCCTCTAAACACCCCTCTTACTGTAACACAATGCTTGCGAAGTGAGAAAACCCTCAAAAAGAAAATACGGGTGGAGATATCACCTTAAAAGGGCCCTGAAACACTTTCAGCTAACCATGGAACAAATTCACTGGAAGAGCTTATTGCCTCACGAATTCAACGCCGTGAAAATTTTAAGAATCTGTCCTGTGTGAGTGGAGTTAAAAAGATTTGTCGCACCCTGCCATCACATTCTCTCGTCTTAGTGAAACCACTGGAAGCTAAGCAGGGCGGAATGCAGGGGCAAAAAAAAGAAGTCACGCCCTCCTCATGACCTTAAGCACATTTTTTTTCTTTCAAATGCGCGACTTTTTCAGCGTGGTCGCACGCGCGCGTGGACAAGTTGCGGCCTCCCGCGGCGATCACTATAATGACCTAACGCGCCATGTACAAATCAGCCAATAGCTATTAGATTTTTTTCTACGAGTGATTTTTGAGCATCTTCTGTCATTTGTCAAGAGAAGAGAAAGCAATTTTTAGCTGACTTTGATAATTTATTGTAAATTTCAGGCCTCATCCTGGGCTATAATATTTGGCTTGCATGTTCTCGGAGCCTCTACTACTGATTGGCAGGGTTTTCTGACCATGCTCGAAAAGGGTTGCAGGGCCCCTTTAAGATTCCTACACCACCAAACACTGTGACGAGATAGATATTGAAGGCATCTACTCGGTTCTACACAGCAGCTTCTAATCGATAAAAATGAGGTATACTGTCATCTGTGACTGCCAGAGACCTCGCATACGAAGTTTCAGAAAATTTAATTAAGCCAATGTAGTAAAAATACAAAAATACATTTGGAAATTTCTGATGTCGCACATAGAGAAGTTGCCATGAAAATGCAGTGTGTCAATCTAACTGAATTGATTGTTTCTTTTTAGTGTCCATTTAAAACAAGTTTTCATATTCAGCATTTACTAGCTTGTTCTTGTTATGGGTGTGTTTTAATGTTGTTCTCTGTTTTTTTACACGCAATTGAGTTCAAATGAACACTCCATTCTTCTCTTGTAGAAAGAACAGGAGTTAATTCTTAACCAGAGCCTACAGCTGTTGCTAGCTGCCAGAGATGTTTGACAGTGTGGTAGTTCTTCTAAATCTAGGCTGATGATGATATGTGGGACATGGCCTGCAGCAACTCGCCAATTTTCTCTGCTCATCTTCCCGCACTTTTCATTGACCTAAAAACAACATACTGTGTCCAAAGCATGACAGGTCTTTATTTTGCGTAAACTTCAGATGAAATGTCACGGTGACACCAGCCATAGCACTGATTGATTAAAGTAGTGGCTCTCAAATGGGAGTTCCCGGATCCTAGGGGGTCTGTGATCCACGGAACCCTCACCTGCTTTTTTTTTTGCATTTAGAAAAATTTACATATGTAACTCTGTTAAAGCGCAACTGTGCCACGTATTGACAAACTGTCCAAAATGAGGTGATGTGGCACGTTTGTTTATTGTTTTTGGTAGCAATAAAAGGCACCTGTTTCACGCTCCAGTTGTGTTACTTTACCTACATACCTACATCCCTACCCTTTGCTGCAAGGGGTCCCCCATTACCTGCACCAGTCCACAAGGGGTCCCCAACACATCCATTACTGACAACCACTGGATTAAAGCATTCGTGTTGACACCGGAGGAGTTTTAAGGTGTTTTAGGCAGTAATACACATGTATAACTTATCTGTTTGAGCCAGTACCAGTGTTTGCAGTATTACCAGTAATGTGTTACTTTCTTTTTTAATTTAGTTAGTAATATTCGAGGGCTGTCACAGATAATGAACTTATAATAATGTTTTTCAGTAATGTGAGGTGTAACATTGAGAGACCTTGGTACAACTAGGAGTTCTCTCAAAGCCATATTAGTAAGAACACACCCCATACCCAGCACCCCAACCAACTGACCCAACAGTAAGTTGTAATATGGGAGGTGTGATGTTATCACCAATTAATTTTTATTCCAACAATCTTGAAAGTTTTTCTCAAAGGACCTTCGTCTCACAGATGCCACTTTACCAGAGCTTGCCCCTAATGTTCTTTTGTCACAGCGGAATATTACTGCCAGCCCACTAGGCATTGACTATATGAGTACCATCCAGCATGTCCACCAAGCACCTTGTTAAGACGTTTTTAATTATGAAGCAAGGCGAACTGTCCGATGACAAGTTCAAAATGTAGCTGTAATTTAAATGTCTAACTGAAAGTTGTCCCTGCAATACTCTAGCACTGTTTATTAACTCTGTTTTCAAAAATAAATTTTCTTATTGGCATCTTTCAATTTACATTTCTTTTGTTACTCCATTTCTGAGGGAATGTGACTTACTTTGAACACTCTAATATAAACGCTCACAATTTTCTTGCCAATTGTACAGGTGAAAGGGGGAATATTGTATATTTGTGCAAATATTTTCTTACAGAACTAAACCATTTAGGCATTTATTTATGGCTAAAAAATTTGAACATCTTTTTTTGTTAGTGTAAGCATGCTGTCAGAATCACTGTAAACGCTGTCAGAATGCTGTCAGAATCACTGAAAGAAAATGGATGTTTTCTTTGCAGAGAGTATTGATAATGAAATCTCATGTGTTCAATGTCACATTGAGAAAAATGCCATCAAATCTAACCAGGGGTGTTGGCAGGGGTATGCGAAAGGGGTACTTGCTCCCCTCAAGACACACCATCGCTTACCCTCCAACCAGACTACACCAACACTCCTCCATCAGCAATGCAACACAGGTTTACACCGGCCAGGACAAAATCCTGCCGATGCCCATGCATGTAACTCTACAGTCATCTTCATGGGCCACTTTAATAACACTGGGGCCTTGCAACTTGTGCAAAGTTTTCTCGTTAAAATAGTGTTTTGGGTAAAATCCTTGTTTGGGCTAGAAGTTTTATGTGAAATACTATCGTGAGCTTTATAACATGGTCACTGTATATCCTTGTGGCAACGATGCACTGATTAAAATTTATGATCATATCGTAATGGCTGAAGTAACATGCATCACATTTTTTTTTGCAACAATTACATGTCACCTTTTTTTGCAGGTAATTTAGGGTGACGACACGTTCCTTTTTTGTTAGTGTAACGAGTAGCTGATTTAGTTCCTTTTTCTCAGTAATGCCTACAACACTGTCCAGTACTTACAGCTCGTATCTTGTTGCCCTGCAGGGAGGGAGACGTAGCTCACCAGCCCACTGTGCTTTTCAAGCGGCTGAAGCATCACAAGGGCTCTATCTATTGCCTGGCGTGGAACCAGACTGGGGACCTCTTGGCCACTGGCTCCAATGACAAGACAATCAAGCTGATGCGATTCAAGTCTGAGACATGTGCCCTTGACAGTGAGAATCACCATGTTCACTTTTTTGAACACGAGAGCATTGAAGAGCTCATTTAGCAGAAATTTCGGCGTCGATGTTGGCGTCAGTGTTGGCGTTGGCGTCGTTAGTTGTGAGCAAAAAAATCATCTTATGCGGCGTGGCCAAAAAAATCGAGGATGCAAATAAAATAAATAATTAAAAAAATTCCTGGGTCAAAGTAACATTTGAACCTGGGTCTTGTGGGTCTGAGTGGGGATCGAACCCAGGTCGTTTGCGTGGCAAGCGGATGTCCTACCACACAACCACGTCTCTGCTTGTGAATAGAGACAATAACTTCCTCTGCTTGGAAGTGCAGTGAATGTAACTTTCATGCTTTACAAACACATGCGTCCTTTCATGCTTTACAATTACATGCGTCCTGTTACATGCATGATTCACAATACACCATGGAATATTGCACTAATAATGTGTGGTAAAAGCGTACATTGCAATCCAGGTCGCGGGATCGAATCCCGGCTGCGACGGCTGCATTTCTGATGGAGGTGGAAATGTTGTAGGCCCGTGTGCTCAGATTTGGGTGCACGTTAAAGTATCCCAGGTGGTCGAAATTTCCGGAGCCCTTCACTACGGCGTCTCTCATAATCATATGGGGGTTTTGGGACGTTAAACCCCACATATCAATCATTAATCAGCGTACATTGCAATCGGGCATCGGAACATGCGATTATCGTATTGACTTCATGGTTTTAAGCCGGTCACTTATTACAAAAGGTACATATGTTACTGCGCTGTTCCCTAAAGGCCACAAAGTGGGTGCGCAGCAAGTTGAAAAAGATTTCATGCATTAAGCGTTTGAAATACGCACTAGGCACAGGATATCACTATTGCGTTTGACTCTCAAAGGCGAAGCTTAAGAGTCCCACAATTTTTTTCCTCATTGAAATTCTTTTGTTGAGATTTAACTTGCCCTCATTGTACTCTGTAACTCTGTTATGTTTTTGTGTAAAAACTGTGTATGCACAAGGATGAGCAAACTTGCGGAAGTATGAGGGTTTGCGAGACCTTAGTACAATGTAATTTCCACTTGCCATTGTTTGAAGTGTCAACACAAATCATTAAAACCTGCGTTTGACGTGCTCTTGCATTTGCTACATTGAAAGTACTGAAGCTGCAGATGTCCAGACGACAAGTGTGGCTTCTGTTCCTTTGGAGTTAGTCTGCATCATTGCTATATAGTCATCAGACAGTTAGCCTAAGATTTCTGCACTGCTGCCGGAGAAAAGGGGCATGCAGAGATTCCTAAAAGTTCAAGCCAGATGAAGGTACCATTTAAAAATCGTTCACAAAACGGATGTGATCAAATTTCACCTCGCGAAATACTAACAACATTTCCTTGTCTGTAGGTTTTGTCATGTTGTGCACTTAAGAACATGTAATACAAATATCATCTGTAACCTATGATTTATATATTTTTTGTTTTATAAAGCAGTTGCTAAACTGTAGAGTGCATGTGAGAAAAAGAAATGGTGAGATGCTGTTCTAGGATCGGAGCCTTATTGTTACTGTTCTTTTCTTTCTTGCTTGGGTCCCAGGGTACTCTAAGCTCTTGCACCCCTTGTGGCACCACCTGGCATAGTCCTCTCCAGATGGGTAATTATTTCGATGGCACTGGCACTACATAAGCTTCTCTCTTAAAAGCAGCCTGGTCTCTAAACAGTATCAGCAGCAGTTTGTAAAATGAGATGTCTGGTGCTGAAATGAGAGGTACATCAGTGGGAGTCGCCTCAGAATAGGCTGGCTTCTGTCGGCCAGGTGCGATAGGGTCAGCTTTGCCATGAGAATTCACCATGTATATAGAATCATGCGTCTTTAATATGAGAAAGGACCCGAGGCATTGCGGGTGGAGACCAGGCCGATTGGGTGCATAGCACACGAAGACACGAGATGAAAGGTGCATGTGCTAGAACAGGACACGTTTTGCAGGGTTTTAGATCCAGGATGAGGTCACGAAAAAGTTGCACATGCTCGGGACTGGGTAGAGAAGCCAAATGTGGCTGTGGTGAGGAAAGGTCAGTGGGCAGACGATGCATAAAATCGTACTAGATTAGCTCCGTGCTTGAGCACACCATGTTGAAGGTGCACTGAACAGCCAGAAGTGGCAGTGGCATATGTTAAATCAGTTTTGATGGTGTGTCATCAGATATCAGTACTGACTCGAGCTGTCGGTATAAGCATGGAAGAAAGAAAAACAAAGGAGAGAGCATTGCATCACACAGTCAGCCTGGGCACGCCAACCCATTTTAAAGCCAGCAGCGTCGTCAGAACATGTGACATTTTGCGTCAAGATCAAGCAAGAAATGATATTTGCTAAGACTTCTGGGTATGGCGCTTGGTTGCTTTTAATCAAAGCCCGCATGTTCGGCACAAACCGGCTGGCTCACTGCCGAGGTTCAAAAACAGAACTCCACCGGTAGTACTCAAACCTATTATTTGCTGTGACATTGTGATTGTGTGTTGGGCCAACACGATGGGCTTCGATTCCATGATCCGATTCCCTCCTTTTCTTTTTCCTTCCTCCATGGGTGCAACCATTTAAGAGGCCATTGATTTGGGTATGATAGGCGGCAGTACACACACAATTTGTCCCAAGCAAGGGCAGAAGCTCTTGAAACAGAGGTGCTTAGAATTTGTGTTCTCTGTCAGTGAAAATTTGGCTGTGAATTGGAAGCGGCCAAGCCATATTGTAGCATGTCAACCCCTCTTTATATACCGGGGGTTCAAAGTTATGCTTTATGATTTTTTTTAATTAGGCACTCAAAAGCACGTGAGAACCACTTGGGCAAATAAGTTAAGTGGCCAGGGGGACAGAAAGTTAGATGATAATTATCACCATCAGCAGCCCATTTGACTAAAATTTAATAATTAACCTACTACTGGCTGTGGTAAGTTGGCATATTTATATTGAAAAAATATAGGCAGTGGGGTTTGTACACAATTTCAGTTGGAAGATTTTTTCTAGCATGCCTGTGCTCTAAGATATCCAGCTACAAAGTTTGTCTTTCACATGATTATGTATGCAAGAGGGTGAGGGTCAGGGCAAAGCTCCTCCCTAAATTGACGCATCTGTTATGTGCGCTGTTTAGTGTGTGAAAAGGGTGGAAGTACCCTCTTCACACACTAAATGTGTGTGAATTTTTGTGTACATGGTGGCATTAATCTTGGGCAGCTTCATGAGGAAATGGGGCTGAAAGAGGAATCAAATTAGAAAAACTCTCGATGTTTACGGAATCTGCTGAAGTGGTGCAAGTTCCGATCTTAGCTCTGCTTGCTTCTCTTCACCTTTTTCTTTCTTCGGTATGCCCAGTACACTGGTTTGCGGGGTTGAAAGGTATATGAAAGAATTTGGTCGATTCCCAGCCATGGCGACTTCATTTCAATAAAAGTGGAGTCAATAATTCTAGTGCAACACAATTTGTGTGCATACTATAGAATTCCAGATGGTCAAGATTCTTCTGTAGCCTACCACTAGAGCACGCCCCTTTATGACCCTTTGCAGTTTTTGAGATGAAAAACTCCATTCAATTCAAATGCCAGCATAGGTAGTACTGCTATCTGTGCTTTTACCAAAGTGCCATGATGCTTACTAACCAACCCTCTTCAATACCTTCATAACCAAATTTCGCCATATTGCATTTTTTTTAACAGCTGGAGGAGAAGCAGAGCTTACCATGCATGATGGAACTGTTCGCGACGTCTGCTTTGTGGAGGATCTAAGCAACCGGTCAAGTCTGCTTATCAGTGGCGGAGCAGGAGACTGCAAGATATACGTTACAGATTGTGAGACGGCCACGCCTTTCCAGGCACTCTCTGGACATTCAGGTGAGCTGTCTTTGGCTGTAGTTGGACAAAAAGAGGGCTATTTTTGCACTTCAGCAGCTTATTTCCTAAACAAAATGGATTACCAAAGTTATGTCAAGTAAGGTTTCCTGAAACCTACTTGTGTCTGCCAGTAATAAACAGCTATAAAAAAATCTGACATGGGAAGTTAAGCTTGAAAATTTTAGAACATGTTCTCCGGTTGTGCAGGACTATATTACTTCCTGCATTGTAGCAGGTCTTTCCTCCTGTTCATGTTTGGCTCGGTTACAACTTGACTCTTTGTTTTAAATATACGAGGGACAAAAATTTTGGCTTGTTTGGAACATCAGTTCTTACTGAAACAGCTACTGTACTACAGTTGAGTCTATTTATAACGATATTGTTTATATCATTGTATTGGATATAACAATGAACAACAGTGGCACCGTTCACTTTTGTATGCTTTCTATGCTCAAATAAACCACTTATCATGGTGCTGGCCCCAGCAGGGGCGTCTGCGCAAGCAGGCGTTTAGTGTATGGCGACACCACGGACCCAAGCCAACGAGGGGGTTTCGACCCCCTCCCATGTCTTGCCGTGTGTGGCATTGCCGTGTCCAGGGAAAAAGGGATCCTGGGGATTGAACCAATGCCGACTGTTTGGGCTTGGACCTTTAAGGCCCCTCGGAGGATGCAACACACCCCTTTGGTCCCGGCTTCACGTAGATGGCACTCCGGATTGACCAGCCCAAGGGAAAGTGGCAGTCCCCTTTTCCTGTCCTCTCATATCTTCCTCTTTCTCTCTTATTTTCAATCTGTCCTGTCATCTCCTCTTTTCAGTTTCAGTTTATTGAGCGTAATTGGGTGAGGGGTTACATATAGGGAGAAATATATAGAAAGAGGTTCCTTAGTGTGAACACTGCAATGATAGGCGGCAGTGCTGCCACTCGCTTTCAAATTTCCTGGCGACTAGGGTTAACTTTGTGCGGGTAGCAGTCTTGGATACGGCATATTTGGTTATAGCAGTATCATACAGCTGGGGATTGCAGGATCTGTGTTTCGTACATCCTGCAACGTCCCCATGTAGGCCTCGAGCTCGGTAGTTTGCGTTACTGCCAAAACTTAGTATATTGTACGGCTTTTTCTCTCCCAAAACTTTCCGATCGCCTCCAAAAAAAAAAAGGCGCACCGAAGACTTGTTTCTTTTCGTTGGTAACCAGAGAGAAACATTGCCATGCTATCACATATTTCATTCTGAAAAAATAAGCGGGAAAGACAGTGAGAATGATCTCGCCTTTCTTCATCTCAAAAACTTTGTCAGAAACCCTTGGAGAAGGTTATAAGGCATCAAGAATGGCAAATCGAGACCCTCTCTTGGAACTTCATAATACCAGAAGCTGTCCAATTTAATATCATTTGGGGACGTCCTAGTGACAGTCACCCTGCGCCTCACAAAGAACACGTCACGTGGGGTTGTCTCCAGTGGCAGGATTTGACTTCCTATAGTGGCAGGACTTCACTTCCAGTAAAATTTCTAGTGATAGCGCGTAAAATATGTGACGTAAAATATGTGACGTTTTAAAATTTCTTCTGCTTAGAGCGTATAAGTCCGTTTAACTAGCTTTGAAACGGAAAAAATGAGTCGATGTGAGGTTGATATCTTCATTTAACATTAAAGTGGGGCTTCGAGGCAGTGCAGATTTTTCCTGGATACGTGTTTTCGCGGCTTAGCACTACTTCAATGCAGTGAAACCACTTTTAAAAATTAGATGCATACATACACCTGAGTAAGTGGTTCCACGGCATAGGACCCCTTTATAGCAACGAAACCATTTTTACAGGGTGTTACACATGTGGTTGAATATGCATATATTTGTTCATTTCTATTCATTCGAAATTTTCAATAATTTAAATTTAATTAGAAGAAAATTGAAATACTGCATCATTCGCTCGATTATTTTAAGCATTCGAATAATTGCACAAGCCTACTTTTCTCCAAAAAAGCACATAGTTGCACCATCTAACTTGCGTGCAAATGAGTTGCTTTGACTTTTCTTTTAGCTTTCTTTTCTGAACATGCTTATAACAATCATTGCTTGTGGGATCTCCTAGGCACTTGGATATCGTTATAAGTGGACTGCACTTAAAAAGATTGAAACATAGCCACTGCATCATATGGCCACTGCTACATGAAGCAAAGCCAAGTGTTACATTGCAGTTTAGCATGAGGGTTAGAGAATTCGTGGTGTAGGGTTTCTGCTTCCTGTTTTGTTTGAGCTAGTCTGTAGTTCATCGAAGTGCCAATGGGACGGACAAAATGGTAGAGGCCTGTGTGCTGTGCGATGTCAGTGCACGTTAAAGAACATCAGATGGTCGAAATTTCCGGAACCCTCCACAGCGACGTCTCTCGTAACCATATCATCGTTTCGGGGCAAAAAAAATGCCTGATGGTATTTTGTTGTTATTAAATTAGCAAGCTTAAAATACCTTTGTATGCCAACTGAAATGGCTCGGTTGTGTGTGCTGCCAACTTTACAGCGTGTTTTACAAGTTCTTTTATAGCTGAAGATCGAAAAGGTATACAATAGACTAAGGGAACAGGTGTCAGGTGTAAGGATGTCACCTGCTTGTGCACTGCTACGAACGCCAGAACTTGTTACAGCCTGTGTGCTGAATTGAAAGAGCCTGTGTAACAGGCTCTGTTGAGGCAGCACACAATCTGCAAGCAAGACACTGGTTTCAGCACATAATCTTGCGTAAAGTGCACCTGTACAAACACACAAAATAAAGTATTGTATTCCTGTGCGCAGATACTTGTTTCTACTTCTTTGCTCACTTTGCATTCTCCTACTAATTCACAGGTCATATCCTGTCCTTGTACACGTGGGGAGGAGCCATGTTTGTGAGTGGCTCTCAAGACAGAACCATTCGCTTCTGGGATCTGCGCACCAGAGGCTGCGTCAACTTAGTGACTGCACCACCTGCAAGTGGCAGTGGACCTGGTGAGTTTATGTCGCGCTCATCTCTTTCGTCTACACTTTAATTATACAAAGTGTCCCAACCAAGGAATTGTGATCATGCGATATCAGCCTCGTTAACGCTCTAGTGTAGGTAGTCCAAATTTTTTTCAAGGAAATGTAATGAACAACTGGTGGGTTCGGTGCCCTCCCTGGTAATGGCACATCAGTGATAAGTGCTTAAAGAGTAAATAAAAGATTTCGACAAGGGTCCTGACAAAGACAAGTACCCTTGTTAAAATGTTGGCATTAGCAGCAGTCCTTCCACGACTTAGAAACTAGGTAGGCGCAGTTACTCGGCAGGCAGGCATTCTTTTACTCAACAGATTTAGATTTTGTATTTGCGAGGCTGCTTTTCAATGCATCCGAATGCTCACACTCTGCAGGGGTGAGACAGCTGCGGGTATTATGCTTTTTTTATACGTTTTCTGTTTTCTTGCCCCAAGCTGCTCCAAAGCAAAAAAATCACGCAAACTGTGCCAAACTGCTCTGAAACTGCCTCAAAAGCAGGAATTTTTATGCCGACCTCAGCTTCAGTAGGGGAAAAGGTTGTGTTGACTACGTGATTTTTCGAGCAGGGCCAGGAGTACAAAGAAAATAAGATGCGTCCAAGCCTGTTTTTTTACTTTGCACTACAGTGTTCTAGGTAGAACACTGTACTTTGCATCTTTCTGGTGACGAAGGCTTTCATGGTGCCACCGTAATCTCCTCTGGACTGTTTTAAATATGCGTGACCCCGCAAAAATGTGCTGCCGTGCATCGAGCGTACTGCTTCTGCTGCTAGACTGTGTGTTCTGGCGCCACTGTCATTTATCAAAAATCACTGAGTTAGCCACTCTGCCGAGTGGCATGCATAGCGGGGTTGACTCTCATGTCCTTTGTTGTGCGTAGCGCATTCCTTCAGTCGCTGCGGTTTTCATGTTGATGCTGCTGCATGCAGTCACCTATGTGTGCGCGTTTTGTCGTGAGGGAATAGTACCTTGTTGCGTATGTTGCGTAAACGTTGTCATCCCCCTGCATGCAATGAGTCTCCTGGATGCTTTGGCCAGTGGATTTTCAAACTGGGTTCTGTGAGCGATATAACATGTGCCATTCGCTCCTGGTGTACCCCTATTAGCAATTAATTTAGTTAAACAAGCAAGTTTTCATTGCATTTTGCATTTTAAAAAGCCATCGCACGCCAAATTTGCACATCGGTGTTCGCAGGTAGCGAGATATGCTCTTGGTAGCAGCTCTAAAAACTCACCCATAGGGTACGCTATGAAACTTGCACGATTTAGGAACCCATGGTATTCAGAATGCGCGTTCAAGCCAGTTTAAACGGGCACCTCGGCGCTTTATTCGCGACTCATGACGCATCAGTAATCGTGTGGTACAGTTTTGTAATTGAAACTCACAACAAGCGCTTCAAGAGGCGTCGCTGTGTTCCAGATCGGCACTACCCAAGCTTTTAGGCTTGACTTTAAATTCGACCGTTGTTTCAGTCGGCAGTCGTTCCGAAGTATGACTGACCTGCATTTTTGTATCTTTTTTTTTCCAAATCTGGGCTCTATACGTTCGGTTGTTTGTTTGCGTGGACACATTGCTTACGTGCGCTGCTCAGTGCGAGCGCTTTATGCGAGTTGCGAAGCGGCGCAGGTGGCAACCGCAAGTCTATGTAGCATTGAGATTTTGGCAACAACTGTGATGGTCTTTGATAATAAGGAAAATAGAACAAGCCAATTTGGGCAGTACTAATAACGTGTGGTCGCGCTCGTCGCAAGGCGTTATGACCTAGTACCATTCGCTTATCACTTAGTTAAACGTTTTTAGATACTGTCAGTTGGGTAAGCGGCGCGGTCGCACCAGCGAGAAGCAGCCCCCTTCCATATCCCGCACAGCGGCAGCGCGGCTGTCGCTTTGGGATTGGCGAAGGAGCGTCGCTTGCTACCTCTGCATACAAAACAGTGGGAAATTCATTCTTAAATACGTGGATTTTAGCTAAAGCACCTATATGAGGGCCGATTGAATACTACTTTGTAATAAATAAGGGCTGCTCCTGTAGCTTAGAATTGTGCACACTAGGCTTGCGCCCCCCCCCCCCCCCCCAATCTTTCCCAATTATTGTTTACCGAGCGAAAAAGGACTCTCCACCACACTTGCCTGTCGGGCACCCACTTGAGATCAAGGTCGGGCCCTTACGCTTCGAAAAAAATACTCTCTGCACCTCTGAAATAGATAGCATTCATTCGCGCCTGCAGGTTATGGACGATTCTGAGTGAACAAGCCTGTGTAATTACACATCTTACACATTGCGTGTAAGAATATGCACTCAAACCTCGTTTCAGTGCATATTCGTCGAGGCATATTCGTCAAGGCATATTCGTCAAGGCATATTCGTCAGAACGTCGATAACTTGCAGTTGAGATGTCATCCCACCTGGGATCACGGCCAGTTCTGTGCCGCAGTCGCGCAAGAGCCTCTTCAGTGAATCAGCCAAATGGCAGCGAAACGTGTCTAGCACCAGAATGGATGGAAAAGACAGCAGGGCACCAGGCTGCTGCACCCCACAGACTTTACCCAGTCTAGGACAAGGTCTTCGTTCATCCAGCCTTTATCGTGACATCTGAGGATGACATTCTTTGGTAGCTCCTCCCCTTTCGGCATTGCCTTGCGCTTGAAGACGACATAAGGTAGGAGCTTGTGGCTGTCCGCCGTGCGCGGTAATATGACTGTGACACGAGTTTTTTAATTGCCGGTGGTACGGACACTATCCTGCTTTGAGTCCTTCTCGTGAACTGTTAGGGGGGATGGCATGTCCAGGTAAACTGTCATTTGATCGGCGTAGCGGATTTGTCTTAGCTGGAAGTTCTGCGAGCGGCACAACGTAATCACGTGGCATTGAAATGAGATAAGAAGCTCTTCAAAGGCTTCAGGAAGCTTCTGAGAAATCGAGGTTTGCAGGCGCAGGGAAAATCCGGCTCGGCACATGTAACGGTAGATCCAGTGCTTGCGGGCTTTGAAGTCCGAGCTCAACATCCCGTTTTCTCTTGCCAGCTCCCTCGCTTTCATTTGCATCAGCTCCATGTTGAATGGCAAGTTCGCCGCCCGTTGCTGTCGAACGAACTTTGTCAGTGCGAGTTCAATCTCAGGGAAAGCCCCTTTTTTTGGACCGCAATAGCTTTTTCGCTTTCGGGTGCGTTCACATTTGGAGAGTGAAGAGAAAACGAAAACGTCAGAGCGGCCGCAAAACCACGACCGCGCGTGCCAAACATGTTCAAATTTGTTTTGCCCCATCCCGCCGCTGCTGCCGTCGATACCTTGACAATGAGTTCGATTTTGCCTGCTTTCTGAAAACTTAAGTTCATACGGAATTCCAGCTATTCGCACAAAGTAGTCAAAAGAAACAGCTCGCACCTTTTTAAATGTTGTTTTGGGAGATAAGCCAGCAGAAATGACACGAGTGAACACACCGGCAGCAGCGGCGGCGGATTCAGCTGGCTGTACACAACCGCGAAACACGTTGGGGCATGCCGACTCTCTGATGCTGCACCATCTACTTCCAGAGTTCTCGGTGATCGTAATCAAAACCAGGCTCTCGATCAACCAGGCTCTTTAAGGCCATCAAACTTTGTCATGCTGCACGGGTAGTTGTGATATGAGCGGATGCGAGCCACTGCCGACGCCTTTGCCGCCATGTAGAATCTACGGCGGCTGGTTAGGTCACGTGGTTTGATCTAGCGCAGCCATGGCCATGAAGCGGAAACCGTATCCGGTTTCGCGTGATGGGGAAATCGGTCTCGGATCGATTTTTTGCGCACTGTCCACATGGCATGGTTTTCCAGCCACTTGGCTGGTGAAACGAACCAGTTTCCGGAGAGTTTCGCCGCTTTCGCTCTCTTGGAGGCCAAGTGTGAATGCACCTTTTCACTGCATGCGTAAAAAGCGCTTCTTTCTGTCGTCGCCATCCACAGACACTTCCCTCGGTGACTCCTTACTGTCTTCCGGCCACACTGTTGTCGATTTACTCGGCAGCTGCGATGACCTTACTTTTGAATGCAGCCAAGAACTGGTTTCGGGGCCCTGGCATGTTGCACCTTTGCGAAGTGAGGCATAGAACACCCCAAGGTTCACACGTCTGCTGTCCAAGTACACGCTAAAAAAAAACTCAACCACAAAGAAAGAAATGGAGCTAGTGCTCACTTTTGCCATGCAAGGGCACGAAGGTAACGAAGCCAAGCCATAGCAACTCGTAGACAAAACAAAGCTGTAGCCAAGCAGCACTTACGAAACCGCAACTTTAAGCACAACTACGTTTTTCGAGCAAGTTTTCGTTTGCATCCGCACATAGTGCGAAGCGGAAATTCAGAACGCTAATATTAGGAAAAAACTTCGTATTATACGCGGGTATTTACGGTGCTTTCCACGACGTTCCAACTTCGTCCACAGCAATCCCATCACATTCGGCACTAGTGGAGTCGCACGTAGCCACTTTGCACAAAGAACATCGAGACCACTTGCCGACACACCGCCCTAGAAAATCACAGTTTGTCTAAGTTTCGAGGGTATCCTTTTGAGCTTTAATGCCGCTGGTTTAGACATGTGTGCAGGAATATTTGGAAAAATTCAAAGAACTGCTCAGAGCTTCAGTGTCCCTATACTACAAGAAATTTTGACGTTTCCGCCTTCCATGTGCTCGCAGCAAGTGATAAGTTTTTCAGATTCGAAATGTAAGTCGCTAATTTAGGTATTGACTGTCACCTGGAAGGTTTTTCTTGGAATAGCAGCTGTCCAGGCCTTGAGAACTGCTGAGTCGTTTGGGAGTTTGAAGTGCCCCAAATCGCAGGTGCTTTCCTTGTAGGCATAGCCACATCAACAACCCGGCGCGCTGCAGGTCGGCATATTTACTATTTTTAACTGCTAAATCACTCAAGCATGCTTGATCGTCGTGTCACATGTGAAATGCAATTTGCGATGACCGAAATCTGTCATTCAACGCTGCTCCG